TTTGATCTAAGCCGCCAGATGTTCTCCGCAGTGGCGTAACCACCGGGGGACAAAATATCCATATGTGGAAAATCTTTCCCCACCCCTTGAAGATGCCCTTTTCACTCCCTCAAAGTGCCAAAAATCTCAAATTTCGCACACTTCGCGCGCATTTCTTTTTAAAGTAGGCCAATTTCCTCTAAAAATTGAACATTTTAGGGAGTTTTTTCATCAATTCCGACGAAACTAGAATTAAAAACAAAAATGTTTTGCGCGCCTGGCACGCATTTTTGGGGTTGTTTTTAGGGTTAGCCTCCTAAGTTATTTAAACACATGGGCTAATAGTCTCAAGAAAGAAAATTTAAGATGGTTTTGCCTAAAAGAAGGGCCTCAATGTGTAATGACTGTCTCTTATACACATCTAGATGTGTATAAGAGACAGCTACAATATATATAGCCGTTATTAAACAATAATTATACAGCCTTTGACACAGATAGGCGTCTATTTCTACTTCAAGTAGTGACGCCACAAGTTTACGAACTCCGATGTTGCTTGACACAATTTTGCCATTACATCATGATAATGATAAATTAAGTAAATCACCTTTTATGTTTGTGAAATAAAAATATTAAATGTTGTGTGTGCTCACTATCGCCTTAGTCCTGTTTGATCGTAAGTTATTTCCGCTCACAACAGTGTAGTCGCAATACTTGCACAAGTGAAATTCAAAAATAGGAGAAAAGGAAAAAAAAAATTACCTGATTGATTTGATTGAAGTAGTGTACATGCAAAGAGACTATAGAATTGGAGTGACTGTTTAAAGTTTATCCATGAAGGAACATGGTTTACCATTTGTTTTTTCATGGTTCGAATACGTCACAACCTAATCAGTGAATAAATCATTATTTTTATGAATGTTATTTTGCACAAAATATGTAAGCGGGCATGGCTATGATTACCAGGATAAATTGAAACAAAAAAAAATTATGATGAGTAATTCAGTGGCAGATTCAAAGGAGCCCAGCCGGCCTACCCTCCCTGTTTTTGTTCAAACCCTCCCTATTTTTTCAAAATTTAAAAGTGGAGAAAAAGAAAATTATACCGTTTTCAAATTTCAGCCTGAGAGTGCCATTTCCGGCCAACTAGAGGTGCCATAATCATAAATGTTCTTACTTCAGTCCTAACCATGGTGGGGCTGAGGTGGTCTACACATCTGTAAAAGTCCCTCCCTGAAACCCCTCTATTTGGAATTCCTGGACCACTTTATTTTGAAAATGTAGTGTGGAAATAAATTTTACTGTAATTGCATTCCTTAAAAATAATTAGATGCTACTTATAAAAGGCTATAGAATCCAGAGCTTCAGGGGGATTCGCCCTGACCTCCACCGGGCCTGGGCGGCCCCTGGTCCCAGCCAAGACTTCCTTATTTTGCAATTCGTCCCTCACCCCACTTTTCACAACGGATCGACGCTCTTGTCTACGCACACCACGCGCATTATACGTTTTTTTTTTTTCGAATTGTACCATAATGAAAAAGATGAAACAGTGTAAAAATATCACGAATTGACACGGCCTGCTTCTCAGCGATGTGGTCAATAGTGTTTGGTTTTTTTCAATGGCATAGTACAAGCGACACTCTTGACCGGTGAATTCAATTGCATACAAAATTATCTGGGGCTGTTTTGAATAAATGGATGCCTTTCTCACCTGCTTTTGTAAAGTTCGACAGCTCCTTCGACCATTCAGACGTGATTACCTGTATCTAAAAGCCCTAATGGTGCTATAGTCTTGGTTAATTATGTATTCTTTGTATCGCATTGTTCTCCTAGCATATGTTCCAGGATAACATTTTGGTTTAATGAATTTAATGGCAGCGTGTGGAATTATTCGCACCATTAGAAGAATGAAAGAAGACATTCAAGGTATCGGTGTTTGTTTGATGTTCATTCGCACACCTAATCACCAAAGTGAATGCTTCGCTGAGTTCGTACACGCCTCGGGATTAACCAATTGGGTGAATTAACAACTATAAGCAGAAATTCTAAACTTCCGATACTCCTCCGTGGTTGAATCATCTTTGCATTAAAGAAATAGTGTTATTGTCGCCGATGGGGGTACGCTGGGTAGGCTTATTATCCAGGTGGACCGTTTGAATTTGAAGTAGGACTATGCTTGTACACGGTACAAATCAACAACCCCGGGAAAAAATAAAATGAATAATACATTATAAAATCACTGAAAAAATACATTCTATATTGTTGTAATTGTAAAACACGTATTTAACATAATGCCACATGTGTGCCGCTCGTTCGAACGCGATTTCTAAATAAACATTATTATTAATATTATTGTTATTATTATTATTATTATTATTATTATTATTGTTATTATTATTATTCATAGTGGACGGTCGGAATTATTATTTCGATCGGAGAAAACTTTATAAAATTATACTGCCCTCTAGACACAGTAAACTGTCAACACCTAACAAATTGAGAATCTGCAGAAGACAAATCGACAGGGGGCAATGACGTCAAGCAAATCGACAAATGTTTTACATTTGTAACAAAATGATTGCCGCAATAGCCATCATTAGTCTTTCTTATAAATTCGTAGTATTGTTGACAAAAGAGTGTTGCCATGGCAGCGATGCGGACGAGATGATGTTATATGACAGAGCAATAGCGACCTTTTCGTCATTTGTAACGCTTCAATAATCAATCTCCGTCTTATAATTAACCTACGTTTGACACCATCAATTCTGACTTTTTGACAATCATTTAAACAAAGTTAACTTTTTCCCGATATTACGTGTGCAATCCATCAAAGTAAAGGAATAACACCTTTGTTAGTCTATGAAGATGGATAGCCAGGTCTTATGAAATCCAACGTTTCTCTTTAGCGGTTTGCGGAGCACAAGTCGGTATTTGAAAGAAAGAAAAATGAGGCTGTCGGACGGATATTATTTCACTAGAATGTGTCAAACAAATAACCAAAAGTCTCGGTCATTTGTTAGCAAAACATTCTTGCGAGTTTTAATAACCATGTAGGTATATGCATTAACAAAGATCTCATTTATATAAACCACGAAGGATACCAGGCCCAAGTTGATTAATGCTCTCCCTGTTATTATCCATGGTTGGTCCATAATAAATCCATTCTTATCCTTTTTATTACTAATTTTATTAATTTTAATGGTGGAAATGTCCAATTAACCGCACAGCAACCTTTATTGTAAATGATTTTAAAATTATTTGTGTTTATCAATGGCAATTTTTCTTATGATCATAATTTTCTTACTTTATTACTTTTATTTTCTATATTATTTGTATCGATTTTATTATTGATTTTATATATTTATATGGTGAAATGTTCAATTAACAGTGGCAATTTCTGTTTTAAATGATTTTAATATTTTCAGTGGCAATTTTTATTTCCATTATTCATTTTTACGATTTTTCTTATTCGTTTATTGTCGTCGTGGTTGTTTTTCCCCTATTTAAATTTTTTTAAATATATTTATATTTTTGTATTTTAATTATAAGAAACGAGCCATTGTAGAGGGGTTCGTCACCTGTTGGCTCGTCTCCGTTACTTCTGTATTTTTGAGAGAAGTTTATTAAATAACGGTATCTGTCTGTACCAAGGATTGATGTACTGTTGACAGTGGCGTAACAGGCGGGGGCAGGGGAAAGACTGCCGGTTTTTAACGGGCTGACCAAGCCATCGTACCGGGCTTGGTAATAAGAGAAAAGAAAGAGGCGAGAGAAAGAGAAAGGAGGGGAAAAGAAAAGGAAAGCAAAAAGGAAAAGAAAATGAAGAGAAAAATAAAGACAAGAACAAAAAGGAAGATATCATAATGACCAGACACAACACCCTGCAACCCCTTCTCCACTTCAAAAAGTGTCCATTTGTTTGATCTAAGCCGCCGGATGTTCTCCGCAGTGGCGTAACCACCGGGGGACAAAATATCCATATGTGGAAAATCTTTCCCCACCCCTTGAAGATGCCCTTTTCACTCCCTCAAAGTGCCAAAAATCTCAAATTTCGCACGCTTCGCGCGCATTTCTTTTTAAAGTAGGCCAATTTCCTCTAAAAATTGAACATTTTAGGGAGTTTTTTCATCAATTCCGACGAAACTAGAATTAAAAACAAAAATGT